GTGAGCCATGCCCACTCTCCTTTTCTCCTGGCCTTTATGTTATTATCATGTATTTAATGTTTACATGTTAAAAGCTCCAAAACATTGTCATTGTTTTTGTTTAACCCATCGGTAATCTTTTCAGCAGATCTAAATCTTTTTAAAAATGCTTTTGTAAAATACACTAGGGAAGCTAACCAGCCTGACATTTTCTTTGTGGATAGATGTTCAACTAAATCCATTTAAGAATCTGGGAGGTGGGAGAGGATGAAAGGTAGTTGTGCTGTGGTAAAATGAGATGCTCTGCAAGGCAATTTCACATGGGCAGGTTCCTAGTCTGAGTCTAAACATGGATCTATCTGCAGTGATCTTGTATCATTTCCAGCATAGTGTAAATTACCAGTATATAGGCAACTGGTGCCTGGTAGGGAAATGAAGGACCATAAAAATGACCAGGCAGGCTGAAACCATATAAATAATAATGGTTTAATAAGCAATAGGAAATTTTATGATTCCATGACATTTAAAATTTTTGTCATTAAACAAAGAACTCTGAAGAGTCAATGTTTTTTTAAAGTAATACTTAGTACAATATAAATCATTAGAAATGTTGGAATTTTGTATTTTGAAAATAATTACCAAGTAGTTTGAACAGCAGTGGCCTTCTTCTTCCTCTTACATAATTTACATATGAAGTATCTTTTCTCTGATGAACTGACTTATTCCTAAGTTTGGATCAGTTTCCAATGTTTAAAACTTTGTACTTTTAATATTATGAAATAGCCCGAGGAGTCCCTCTCAAGTAGTTTTCTGACATTTTTTTCTGGACTTGTTCTTCTAAACATGCTGCTTCCCTCATTCTTGCTGGTAGGTTTGCCTTCACTAAGTCCCTCTGACTGCCTAAATCTTTTGAAAATGCTTAACATTCCAGCTTTGCTGTCTCTGTGTATGACCTGAGTAATAGGTCTGCAGTGAGCAATCACTGACTTTAAAGTGACATGATTGGTTATTTATCAAAATTCACATCAAGTTCGTAGCGACTCATGGACTGAGCAAGCTGTAAAATTCATACTTAATGCTATTCCCAGTTAATACATGGTTAACAGAAATTAGAAGAGTTGGAGGACTGATGCTATGTAATAAACTGAACATGGAATGTGAAAAATGCAAAATGAGCCATGCCCACTCTCCTTTTTTTCTCCTGGCCTTTATGTTATTATCATGTATTTAATGTTTACTTGTTAAAAGCTTCAAAACATTGTCACTGTTTTTGTTTAACCCATCAATGATCTTTTCAGCAGATCTAAATCTTTGTTAAAATGTTGTATATTTATCCAGATATTTATCACCTCCAGTCCTCATTTCTTTGTGTAGATCTATAATTTCCACTTTTCTAATTGCCTGACGTCACCTTAAAATCCACATTTCATGTAGTTTTTGCATATATACATATATACAATCCTTGATATTCCATCTTGGAACTAAAAAACTAATTTTTAAGAAATTCTTTTGTTTCAAATTTTTATGTAATATCAAAGAAGTGTCCCTACAATATTTGAAAAAAACGTATTACAATACTTTTTTTTTTTTTTGAGAGGTTTTTGCTATAGGGCACGTACACTCACTGGAGTGAGAAATTATCCCCCAGGGAAGATGGACATGCTGCAATCCTTTCTCCATTCTCCTCTCAGGATTTTGGGAATGCATGCACACAGGCCTGGCTTGAGTTTAAAGTCGCTAGGTCTGGGACTTGCACTGCTGTCAACTACATGGGAGTCCAGCAATGTAACCATTATGCTATCTGCTGGTCCTGACAATATGTATTTTTTTTTTTTTGAGAGGTTTTCACTATAGGGCATGTGCGCTCGCCAAACAGACAGAGAGAGACAGAGAGACAGAAAGCGAGAAATCACCCCCCAGGGGGGATGGCCACACTGCAATCCCTTCTCCTCCATTCTCCTCTCAGGATCTTGGGCATGCACGGGTGGGAGTGGTAAGCCCCCGGGTCTGGGACACAAACCGTGGTCAACTATGTGGGAGTCCAGAGACATAGCCATTACGCTAACTGCTGGCCCCGACAATATGTATTTTTGAAAGAAGAATTCTTTTATTTTTTTTTTTTTAACACATAATGCCTTTTGAAGTCTATTTTCTGAGATAGAGAGTGAGAGATACTCGACATGGTCTCTGTCCCCCAGCCCTGCAGCAAGCCAGGAATTGGCAGGAGTACACCTGGCAAATTCTGGTAGACCTGGTACGTGAACTAGAGCCTTCTCACTTGGCTCCAACACTGAGCAGTTGCATCCCCCAGCTTGTGCCCCTGTAGCTGGATCTATAATAACTTATTTTAAAAATATATTAATAAACACATCAATTCTAATATGGTAAATATCAATAGATATACTCCACATAAAGGCTTTTGCAGTTATCAATGTAAGAGTCTAGGCCTCGGGACTAAAATATTTGAAAATCACTACTCTATATAGTGTGCATCTAACTAGAAGCCTTCATTTTACTACCTGGATTAAAGTTTTACTAGCAGCTTGAACTATACCATTATATCTGGGACTAGGAAATCAAGTTCCCCCAATGGAATTAAAATCAGAACATACAGAAGTTACTAGAACAATAAAGTAAAATGAAGACATTTAAAAACAGTCATGCATTTTATGTATTCTCTACTCTTCTGTTTAATGTTTAAGTTAAAAAAAATAAAGACAACCTCTATGGGAAAGAATATAATCAACACCCACCTACCCATCACTGCCACCACCTCCAACCCAACAAAGTACAGCGCTCACCTTAATAGAAATTTTGCTGTGTAAAAATACATAAATGAAAGAAAAAAAAAGAAATCACAAACACACACACACAAAAAAAAAAAAGAAAGAAAAAGGAATTAGGGAAGTGAAAAAATTCTCCTGTGCTATAAAATTAAGAGACCTGTGGAGTATGCATGCAATTCTGAACACAGATGCCTTTCCTGTACAAATACGTAATTTCCAAAGATCAATGGTTGCTGTGAACTGTTTCCACAGATGACAGTATATTCAGTGGTGGAGATCATACTATTTGGAAATAGACTACTTGGATCAAACTCCAGCTCCAACTTCTAATTGTGTGACTTTTGAGAAAGTCATTTTATCTGCTTACTTTACTTTCCATACTTTGCTTTCCATATATGTAAAATAGGGGTGAAACACGGTTTTGAGACATGAGTTAAATATAAAGTCCTTGAAGCCATATCTGGGAAATAACACATTTAGCAATACTTTCTAGGTTTAGTAATTTTGATTTCTATAGTGCCTGCCATTAGACGGAGACTTAAAAAAAAATAGTGGGATTTTAAATAAATTCTCACTTCAGACCAATCAGAGTTAGGCTAACTTTACATTGTTCTCAGAACTTTTTCCAGCTCCAAAACTCTGGGAATCCAAGGCCAGTTGTTTCAGGTTAGACAAGGCAGAATCTCAGTCACCAGCATCTGCCTAAATTCATTCAACTTTTAATGAACAACCACAGAATCTGCCGGATGCAGAGAAGAGTCAGGTATCTTTCTCCGTAGTAAGTTGGAAGCTGGCGAAACATCATACAGGGTAGTACAGAATGATAGAAGCCAGTGTTTCTCATGGTGGTACGTATCTGCAGATCATTGTGTAATACATAACCCAAGTGTTCCTGGGATCAGTATTATCTACAATAGTAGTAATGACAGGGAGACTTCACTCTGAAATAGCCTCTTCCCTGCCATAATGTCATTATCAGCATCAGTCTATGACACAGCAACAGTCTCAGAGCCAGAGCTGAAACAGAGCTGTCAGGCCTACCAGTTGCCCCTTTGCCTCATGCAGATAGATATCTAGAGACTAGAAAGAGCCACTCCAGGTAAACTACGTAGGCAGACCTCTGTATGCTCATTCATGGCTTCTCAATCCCTAGGATTTTCAACAATGGTTAAAGGAACAAGAATTGGGGTAGAAAAGTATGGTATGATTATAGGAGTAACCCTAGAAACTCAATCATGATTTGGCTCAGATGTTCTGGAACACTATTCCCCCACCATTCAGAGTGTGATTAATATTCCTTTTAAAGAGAAAAGGAGTCATTTAGAGAATATTATTATAAAAAGAACACTACAAGCTTTATGAGAATATGAAAGATGAGAGACAGAAAAATGATGTTTGAAAATACTACTGTAAGACATAAACAACTGAGTAACACATAGGCATTATAGAATTGCCCCATGGAATGTGTGTGTATATATATATATATATATATATATATATATTAATAAAGAATACTATTTACAAGATGATACATACCTCTATCTAAGACATCTGAATAGTTGTGAATGCCATACCATGATAGGTATTTTTTATCTCTAACTTTCTTTAGGTCTCCTAAAGCCATAAGGAGGAATAAAAGATCTGTATCATCTATGGTTGGATTTCAATTACTGGCTCAGCAAATTCCAAATAAGCAAAAAAGAAAAAAAAAAGAACAGAGAAGAAAAATGTTACTAAAGTAAGCTAAAGTAGGACTATTTGCATAGTTATAGAAAAACTGAAGAGAGACTCTTATTTCTTGGAAAAATAAATTCTTCAAAACAAAGTAAGAAAAACTGAATATTTTTATTAAATAGTACTTTATGTGCTTTCAATTTTGTTTTATACTATGAAAATATTAATTCCCCCCTCCAAAAAAAGTTATTTTATGCACTATTTTGAAACATACGGTATATGGCTAGGTGTCCAAAGAAATCATTCTAATCTTAGCATAGCTTTAACTTGCCTGATTTTGAAAATAATAGCAGTGGGGCCAGCAAGCAGTGTAGTGATTAAGGTACTGGACTCCTGCATGGTCTATCAGTTTCAGTCTCGGATCCCCGAGGCTTGAAATTCACACCGGGTGTGTGTGATTTTGTGTCCAAAATCCCAGGAGAAATAAGAGAAGGGACTGCAGTGCAGCCTTCTCCCCTGGAGAGTTCTAGGGGCGATTTCTCATTTCTTGTCTTTCTGGTGAGTTCATGTTCCCTATAGCAAAAATTTCTCTCTAACGTAAGAAAGTAACAGTACTATTTTTCACTTAACAGTAAAAAAACTGGACCAGATGATAACTGAAGTTTTTGCCAGTTTTAAGCGTTAAAGATGATATATTACATAGCTAATCCTCTACTTCCTCTTTTCTAGACTCCTTTAAATCAGTGTTTTCCCTAAAAATAGTGGAAAGTTTCCAAAATGTATCACATATTAGACATATTAAAATTCAAATCTACTTCTGACTTGGAACTGAAAATAGTAACATTCCTACAAGTAAATTATAATCCTTTATTTCTTGCCAACCATGTTCCCGGGAATATGGAAGTATTAATTAAAATTCAGAAATGTATAACAACTTAAGTTACTGAAACTCTAAAAATATTATCTATTAACTTTGTAAACTGAAGCTCTGTATTAGGAAAAGACATTACAATAGAAAATTAAGTAGATTACCTGTATTTGATAATCCTCTACAATCATAGTATTAAAAACATAACTACTTCCCTCTGTATAATTTTAGTACATAATTAACGTTCCTGAATTTCCAAAACTTACATGTAATTACTTTCACATATAACTCCGAGAAAAGGTTTCATTTACTATGGTAAACACTGATTTATTAAATAATAAAGTAAAAGTCCATGCTTTAAAAGTCAGCATTAAATTTATAACAGAGAAATTTAAAAAAAAAATTTCTATCATGGATAGTTATCAGTCTTTGTTAAGTCTTCCAACCAATATTTCATGAAAGAAATTAAGTGGGAGCTGCATTTATAGATGATGCTCGTGCTCTGGCCATTCTTCGAACCAGTGCTTCCTGCCTTTTTCTCTGAATTTCTTCAGGAGAATATTTTCTGTTTTTCTCCTCTTCTTCTAAAATTAAACAAAAGATAGGTATTAGTTTTTTTACAGCCTATAAAATCATTCTGAATATTAGTTTTTGTTTTTTTATTACCCAGAGTTGCCAAATTGGTTTAGTTATAAAATCAATAGCCACGATTGATGAAATCAATCAATATTAAGTCTAAACTACTAAATGTAAAGCTTCAATTCCAACTTCTTAGTATAATCAGACATGGGAGTGGATATTCGAGGTAAGAAATACATTATTTTGAATAACCTTTCCAGATGATTCTGATGTATCTTATTTCCTAAGCTAGTCATCTAATAGTCTAATTTTTCTTACAGGAAAACACTAGAAGATACTTTTTAATTAGGTTGACTAATTATCAAATATTTTAGTCTCAAAGCTGAGAAACACAAAAAACTCAGAATAAATATAGACATCCACAGATTTTACATGCAATTGACTTTAAGCATGGGAGAAAAATAGGTAATAATCCACAGTCAGGAAAGAATACAATGTCCTAAAACAGGCCTTACCATTGGCCTGGTGATATTCCAAAAGATAATTTCAAATGATATAATGTCACACTATAAAAATTTTGTTTAGGGAGAGTCATCTGTTATTTCCATTAGTCTTTTCTTTTTTTGTAGATGTTGTGCCACAGGGCACATGCACTTGGAGAGAGACAGAGAGAGGGAAAAATGAGATATATTAACCCCAGGGGATGGCCACGCCACCATCCCTTCCCCTTCATTCTCCTCTCAAGATTTGGGGCACACACATCCAGCGTATTTTCCAAGCCATCAATTGCAGGACTCAAATCAAAGTTGGCCATGTGGGATCCAGTGCCTTAACCACCATGCTACCTGCTAGCCCCTCCATTAGCCCTTACTTTAACTCAATCTAAAAGAAAAACAGTCTCAAAGTCTCAATTCATTGCAAGGTAGTAAGCAAAAGTGGCTTTTCTTAATTTTTATCTTAATGCACAGATATTTTAGCAAATTGAGTTTTTCCCTGAAAAGGGCTACATGAACGCTTTTTGCAGCTACTCTATTGCACCACTGTAGCACAAAACAAATGATATGTTGGTTTAATTGAAGGCTTGATTTTGAACAATAAAACTTGAATTTTATATAATTAAAAAACATTGTTTTATCTAGAGGGCATGTGTATTCACTAGAGAAAGACAGAGATGGAGAAAGAGAGAGGAGAAACCAACTCCCATAGGGAATGTCAGGTCACAATCTATTCTCCTCCATCTCTCCCTCCTTTCAGGATTTTGGGCATGCACACACAGGTGCCCCCATGGTCCCCCCACACCCCTGCAGTGTGTTTCTCAAACTATAGGGTCCAGGACTTAAACTTTGCTATAGGGTATGTGAGATCTCACTGCCTTAACCACCAGGCCCTCATATAATTTTCAAATGTCATGAAATATTTTCCTTTTTATTTTTTTAACCATTTAGAAATGTAAAAATTATACATTATAGCTAGTATCTAGCTGTGTATATTTATGCACATACATATACGCACATATACTTTTTATAGAAATATAAAATGCTACATGATATATACCAAACCGTTAATAGTACTTTCCCCTAAAGAATGGTTGTGAGAAAGGAGAAATTGAAGGCCTAACTTGTACTTCAAATTATTCTACACTGTTTCCTTTCTCCCTTTTTAAATAACTAGCATATCACTGTTGTTAAGTTTTTTTTTTTTAAAAAAAGGGGTGGGTTGCTTAAATAGAAAACTGTAGCAGTGATGCCACCCAGATCGGCAACAGTCACTAAATATTTCATTGCAATTTGTGATAAAAGGAATAAAAGAATTAAGAAATGATGGAAAATTAACATGGCAAGGATCTATTTAAAGACTCTCCCTGGAAGGCCTCTGTGAGAAATTAATATTTACACTGAGATGTAAGAAAGTTACAATAAAAGGGTGATGGTGGTGGGTCAGAGACTGGGAAGGAGTAATTTCAGTTAAGATATTGTACAGTCTAAGTTCCTGAACTAGGAAAGAACTGACTCTGAAAAACTGAAAAACAGCTAGTAGAGCTGAGGGAAGAGGAGGAGATAAGGAGAGAGATAAAGTAAGGGTTAAGGAGAGAGAAATCCAGGGATTTGTAGACCACAGTGTAAAGGGATTTGATGTGAAATCTAATGAGCAGCCATTAAAGGTTGTTTAAAGCATAGGATACCAGGTTTGCCTCTCTGGTGTTAAAAAGACTGCTGTTTAGAGACTAGAATTGAAAGGGGACAGATAAAAGAACTATTGCAGTCTAGTTAAGAAATGTTGGCTTGGGGAAGGGTGTTAGCAGTAGAATGAGAAAAATGGACAATCTTGAGATAGATACAATTTTGAGGCAGAAGCAATGAAACTTAACAGAATGAGAACTGGAGAAAACAGGAATTAAAAAATTAGAAATGACAGGTTGTATCAAATAAGCAAATCACAATTGTATCACAACTAGCTCGGATCTTTTTAATCAGCTACTATACTAGCAAAGGTGTTTAATTCAAATTGTCAAATACTGTTACCCTCACTATTCTGCTAAGAGCAGATTATGCCATGAAATACTTAGTAAATTCATATAATCTTAAGACTTACTCTGCAATATATATGAATACAATTTTACAGAAAATAATTTATAAATTATTTAATGAATATTTACTAAGTATCTACTATATAACGGTCACTGTCATTAAGTGCTGGGGAAGAACATGATGCAATCTTTGAAAAAATAAACCATCCATTCTTCATATACTACAGCATAATTACTAATTACCTGTAAGAATCACTTTAATTCTAGTAAATAGAAGTTCTTAAAATTAAAATTAAAAATTTTAATTAGAAGATTTACAAATTCTTAAATTCTTAAGAATAGTTTTCACCTTACATGATATATTCAAAACAAATAATTTTATTAATTTTCAAAGAATGCTCTCTCATACATACCTTTTGAAGATTGTTGTTTCAAAGGCTCAGAAAGCTTCGCCAAAGATTGCTTTTGAACAGTTTCCCCAAGTAATGGGTTGACAATTTTATTTTTCTGCAAACTTTGTGTAATTTTGGTATCAAATATGCTTCCTGTTATACAATTTTGATCAAAGTGAGAAAGAATCTGAGAATTTTTCACCTTTGTAAATGTATACTTTGAAAATCTAACAGTTTCGTTATGGTTATTTTGAGATTCATCTGTTAAGGTCCTGCAGGATAGTTGATGAGTACTTAATTTCTTCTTAAAATCAGCCATTTCTGTATTCATATGATCTGAATTTACATTCATATTTGAACTTCCTGCACAAACAGATTTGTAGCTGTTCTCTTGTACTGAAATATCGATGTTATTCCATGAGACATGAAGATTATTGATCTGAGACTTTGAATTCTTAGAGTACGTAGTCAAATTTGCTGTAGGTCCTAAAAATGTTGGAGAACTTGTACACAATTCTCCTTTCTTCATCTTTATTGATTTATCTATTTTGGAGTTATTTGTCAAGGAAGATGTTTGTACTGAAATGCTGTCCAGATTCAAATGCTTTGATAGTACCACCCGACTTTCTTGTTGAAATGTAGTAGGGAAGTTTTTGGCTCCATGTTTGGTATACTTTGGTACACTTTCTGAGGTCTTGCTATCCTTTCTAATGTCTCCTTGCTGAGTTAGTCTTTCAATATCGTCACACGCTTGGTATAACAAATCGTCGTCTACATCATCTGCTTCCCAGGTATTTTCTAGTTGATAAGATGTTTTAAGGATTTCATTGGCAAATGATGGATCATTCCAATCATCAAAGAAAGAACTTAATTTTGATGCATTAATGTGGTTGGTGTTACTAATATAGGTTTCATCGCCCACAGGATCAATATTAACAGGTGCTTTAAAAGACTGATTAAAAACGGGCTTATTTTTCTGTTCATTAGAGTATCTTGTGTCCACAGTCAACTTCTTTTCAGTAGCATTTACATTAGAAGTAAATTCAGTAAGAATGTTTTCCTTCGCATTTGTTGGATTAGAAGCAATTGTACAATCCTGAATCTTCTCTTGAATAACAACTGTATCAAAAGATTTCTCAAGTTTCTTTTTATTTCCAGTGGATGATAACTGACTTGACTTATCATTTAGATTTGGTGAAAATCTATATTTTCTAGCATCTATTAAATCTTTGTTATGTATTTTTGAAGGTGGATCTAGTAATATTTTTGAGTTTCTTAACTTGGCATCTAAACTTGTTGACTGACTTTTATCATTCTTACTACTAAAGGTATAAATTGCCCTTTCGCCAGTAACCTGGGATGTTTTAGGAGATGGAAAGGGTTCAGGCATTTTGAAATTTTGCATAGTAAAAGGTTCATTACCTAGCAAGTTTTCCCAATCATCTTCAAAATCACTGGTAGTAAATGCCTCGGTGTGCATATCAGAAGCTTCTGGCTCCTTGGTACAGGTAGTGAGATGTGGCTTTATCAGTATGGGAGCATCTTGAGGAGAAAGTGATCCTGGGGTTTTATTCAACAGTTTTTCAGTGACTAGAGTTTTATTAGTAATGATTTTCCCCTCTTTCATAGAACTCTTCTTTCCAAAGGTAGTATTACTTGTGCTCACAAAAGCATCTGGAAGATCTTGGCTTAATGGTCCACTACATGTTTGAGTTGAACCATCAAAAATGGCATTAAATGCTGCTTCAGCATTTTGGTCAAAGGGCTTCTGACTGCTATTTTGATCATTAACCACAGCCATCTTAGTGTTTCCTTGCACTGTTTTTTTCATTATAGCATTATCTATTTCAGAAACTATGCCATGTGACGAATGAATCTGTACATTATAATTATTTAAAGTCTCTATTTCTGAAATCATCTGGATAAGATCATGATTTTTCTTGTCTTGCTCTTCAATTACATCGAGCTCTTCCATATTTTTGTCAAATTGTTTAGCCAATTTCATAAGTTCTTCTTCTTGATTTTGTGTTTTTAACCTATTAAACAACATTAAAAATTACAACTAAGAAATGTTCTGAGTCATTATAAGTATTCAATTATTTAACATATTTTAGTATGTTAAGACTTTAAGAATTTTAACATTTACATGAAAATGACTTTAACTCCAAAATTTTAAATCAAAGCAAAGCAAATTTTATTAATTATCTATACTCACAATACTAAAACAGGGTATTATTAAAAATATTTGCTTTATTGAATCTCACAAAAGTTGAAAGGTGGAACTCACTTGGTACAGCTGATTTTTGCTCTTAATTTTCCTTTTGCTACATTGGGAGTACATGGAATAGCCGTAGCACCAATCCACATACCCAACATGGAGTCTGTTGTTGGTTTTTCATCCTGTGGTACAAGGGGCGGGGGGACAAAGAGATAAAAAAATTCTAAAGGAAGAAAACAAAAACTGAATACTTTGAATTATTTTCCTAGAGCAATACATTCTAAGGAGGTGACAGTTACTAAACGAAAAACGATGAGGCTGAGGATGGCAATATCAAATTGTAAGAAGTGATCTCTTTATGTATGCTACAAGGAGTGAAAACATTCAGAATCAGAAATTTCTTCTTTAAAAACATAGTAAGTTTTAAGAATGAAACTATTTAACAAATGCATACTTAATAGAAAAATTTTCTTTATCAAAAGAAAGTTAACTTATTTAAACTGTCAAAAGACAAAAACATCAATATCAGAAAGAGTGAGGCAGAAATGATCAGAATTAAGAATAAAACGATACATATATATATGCGTGTATATATGTAAAATTCTTTCTGTTACCATCTGATTCTCCATATTTTCCTTATCCCCAGTATATCTTTATCTAAAGTTGGACAATTCATGTTGACTTCAATTGAGCATACTTACATAGACATCTGGACTGAGTTAGAGGTAAGAGAATGTTTAGATGAGACAGGGGTAAGAACCAACACAAGCAGAGAAAGAAAAAAGGTTAACCAGTATAAAACCTAGGAAAAGGCCATTTCAGTCCCAGGTATTGCTGTTATTGTTTCAGCCACCTGTCACATAAAAAATTAGATAATGAGCTTGGTGCATTAACTGAAAACTAACAAATCAAAAAGATGATCTATTTTCTACTCTATTTTTATAGTCTATAGAATAAACATAAATATCACATAAAGTAAAAACAATAATCTTATCACCAGAGTATAGACTGCTCAAAGGCAATGTCTTGCCTACAATATTCAGCATCTACCAATAGTGGACATGAGGGGTTAGTTTATCTTCACTTACTAGAAGGTTTAGAAAAAAAAAAAAAAAAAAAAGAAACAAACCCTACAGTTTGGTACTTTAAAATCCTGACTCAACAAGTAGTTTTCTTAAAGTCCACCTGCATCTAGTTGACATTAGCTTGGTAAAATTAAAAAAAAATCTCATTTTCAAGTTCAATATGCCTTTTCTTTTTTGTTTCAACAACACCCTTAAATTTAAAAAAAATAAATAACATTCTCCATGATTTAATTATAGACTCTGTCCATTAACCAAGTTCAAACTCATTTAGTTTTTAGAGAATTATGACAACTTTATGTGCCCAACTTAATATATGCATTGGTCCTATTTAGGCTTGCATACTAAATAGTAAGCATTATATTTTTAATATTTTAAATAATCACAGTTTTTTGATTTACAACTATAACATACATGCTGCATATGGTATCTAAACATAATGTACAAAAACTATGCCTGAAGAAAGTTAAATGACTGCTCAGTTAATATGGAACTGCAAATTCAACAATTTTTTTTACAATTTCCATCTATGAAAACATTAAAGAGAAATTAAATAGTGATCTAAGGATAACTCATCTAAAAATAAACAAGATGAATATTTGTCCCCCTGAGTCCATGACGAACTCTTTAAGAACCTTTTGATACTTTAAAAGATTTATGTACTTTAAAAGTGGTGGGAACCAGCAGTTAGCGTAAGGGCTATGTCGCTGGACTCCCACGTGGTCGACCATGGTTCATGTCCCGGACCTGGTGGCTTGGAACTCACGCCGGGCACATGTGTGTGCGTGCCCAAGATCCCAAGAGGAGAATGGAGAAGGGATTGTGGCGTGACCATTCCCCCTGGGGGGCGATTTCTCGCTTTCTGTCTCTATGTCTCTCTCTCTCTCTCTGGCGAGCGCACACGCCCTGTAGTGAAAGCCTCTCAAAAAAAAAAACAAAAACAAAAAAAAAACAAACAAAAAAGTGGTCAGCTGGGGTCAGCAAATGGTATGGTGAGTAAAGCAGCTGGATCTCACATGGTTGCCTGCCTAGTCTGAGTCAGGACCTAGTGGCTTGAGAAACATGCCAGGTGCATGTGTGTGTACCCCCAATCCCAAAAGGAGCAAGAAATAGCGAAGGAATTATCATGGGACCATGCTCCATGGGGGCTGTTTCCTCACACAACTACCCCCCCTCCTCTGCCCCAGCCACTGAACAGGCCCCCTGGCAAATTAAAGAAAAAAACAAAAACAAAGTGTTCAGTTGAAGAGGGTAAGGTTTAAAAGGAATATAGGCTTGCTGAGAAAGTCATGATGCACTTTTGCACAGAAAAACAGAAAAGTACGTCATGACTTTCCCAACGACCTAATAATTTCATCGTATTTTTTTTCTTTTACACAAGTTACCACGTAAGTACTGTTGCCATTTCTCTGTGTGAGCCATTATTTCCAGCCCATTTAGATACAGGGTCTAATAATTTACTCAACTATCTTTTTATCCACTATTTAGTCTTGCTAGCCTGAAAACATTTATATTTTTATGTGAAATCCACAATTAATGAAGATCTATTATTAGCTTATAGAAAAAGCAGTGTTATGGCTCAAATACTATTTAATGAAACCTGTGTTAAATGAATTTCTACGACATGCCAAACACGGAATGTAGTACTAGTAACCACACAGAGTTGTTTTGACTGTGCTAGTTGTAATTTCAGATATTTACAACTGCTAAGAAAAACTTTATTTCATGCCTCTTTCACCCGGATGATGCTGATTCCTTATAACCACAGTTTGGGCCAGTGCCATCTATTGTTTATGGTCAAAACAGAAGTAACTATCCAAGGACATGGTAAGAAAAATACCGTACTTTCTCTTCCTGAAGACACTAAGAATGTCTAAAATGAGCTGTCTCTGGATTTAAATGTTGTTCACAAAAAAAAAAAAGAAAAGAAAAGAAAAAGAAAAGAGAGAGGAAAGTAAAGAAACTCAGAACAGTTTCATTTATTGGGCCCATGCTTCCTACTAATAATAAAAGGACTAATATGATATAGACCCCCTTGTGTCAGATGACTGACTTCAACCTGTATTTCTGTTTCAATCAAGCAATTTAAGTATGGATGTTACGAAAAAAAAAGTTTGAAGATGGTTCTATTATGGCAAATAATTAATCATAACTAATAACTTTAATTGACAGTATTCTATAGTTTACAATTTTTACTTATCTAATGGATTCCTCATAAGAATCCAATGAAGAGAACAAGACAAATAGTAAGTCTGTGGTTGAATGAATGGAGATAATGAGAGCTTAAATGATCCACCTAGGGTCATATAGCAAAGGAGGCTAAATGAGGACTAAATCTAAATCTGGTATTCTTTTCATTGTTTAAGTGTTTCTTGATGCTTCTGGACGTTGATGAGTATTAGAAAGAGCAGTTTTCAGGACCAGCAGTTAGCATAATGGCTATGTTGCTGGACTCCCATGTAGTAGACCATGGTTCGAGTCACGGACCCGGTGGCTTAAACTCACGCCGGGCACGTGTGCGTGCGTGCCCAAGATCCCGAGAAGAGAATGGAGGAGAAGGGGTTGCGGCGTGGCCATCACCCCTGGGGGGTGATTTCTCGCTTTCTGTCTCTGTCTCTCTCTTGTGAGCGCACGTGCCCTATAGCAAAAACCTCTTCAAAAAAAAAAAAAAAAAGAGCAGTTTTTACTGTAGTGTAGATAATAAACAAGTATCAATTTAAAAAAATGATAAAGGTTTATACTTAATGCTTTACTCCATTATTTCAGTAACCTGAAAAATGATGTCATATGTTAAACACAAAGCTCTAGTAAAAAATCATTACTTTATAAAAAGTAAAACAAGATACCTACTTAGAGCAATATATATTCTTTTTCAAAACATGCATTTCAAAAGTGCAAAAGTTAAAGTATTCTTTGATGCCTTATTTTTGGAAGAAATAATTATAAAAAACATTTCCATATAACTGAACTGTATAAAGACTTGGTGGCATATTTTTCACTCTTTTAAAATAACTATAAATCTAGTAATACTTACCTGAGGAGCAATACGATTAACAATATGTGAAATTTCATCAGTATCTGTGGTATAAATCTGCTTTTTTCTTCCTTTACCTGAAGAAACAAGGACATTTCTATGAATTTTAAATGACAAAAAAAGTCTTTAACTTTTAAAAATAGCTGTCACTTCTCAGAAAATGATTTTAACTGCAATTTAAAAGACTAGACACTCTGACATCACATGCATAACAGAGAGAAAAATCCCATAAGATTCTTAAAAACAAGCTGCTATATAAAAGTTCTTGATTTGTTTTTAGACTGAAATTCATAGTTAAATCATAATCATTTATCAAATATTTACCCACATAGAAATGGCAAATGGCAATAACAATTACCTAATTGTTTGGTTAAAGGAGAATTCTGATCCCAAAAGATATCATTCTGTCCATCTGGATCATTAGGAGAACTGAAGGTAGATGACAATAAATCCACTTTCAGCATTCTCTTTGGTGTTTCATCTCTCTCTACATAAAATAAGATTAAAGAAACAATTGTTGCATTTTAAAGCATTGCTTTAGTTCATAATACCCCAAAGTCAAGTAATAACTTAGTCTTAAATTACCTCCTGGAGACCATAATATTACTTTACTCACAAATAAAATGTTTTCACATAAAAATCTGTGTAACTCTTGACCCTGTAAACAGCAGGTCTTTTAGATCATCTAGCAGCCCTGAGAATTCGTTTTACTATAGTCTGATAAACTAGTTACTCCTTTATCACTGGAACTAGGAGGTTATGGGGAAGCACCTGTAATCAAGTCTCCTAATAGAAAATTCGGCAAAAGTTTAGTCCCTTTTGACAAACTCTATTCAACCCATGTTACTTAAAAAAAAAATTAGTAATCCATTTCTTGGGAAATTTTTGAATCACTTTTCAGATGTCTACAATTTTTTCTTACTCCCAAGTTGTTTTACGGGGATAAGTTAAAGACACGTAAGATGACGAAAGTCACGTACATGCTCTAGGAAAAGGCATTTAGATTGAGTTTCTGTTCCTATCGGATATGCCAAAAACTAGTCAATGAAAGTGGCTCTAAGTTTCCTACTTTAAGGGATGTTACACGTGGCAACTTCCGGTTTATTCATAACGTGAGACATCGCTCAGGCTTTGAAGAGTCTGGATGTGACTATTTTAAAGCAAGTCAGGGCAAAAAATAATTCCCCTAGAGATAAGCTGAGGCCAACCGACCTATCAGCTCGCTCTCCTCGCCCCGCCAAGCCGATGACTGGAGGAGCAACATAAGTTCGCCGCCCTCCCCAAACAGGTAAACCGCACCTATTACTGTGGCGGGGGTGACGATAGGTGGTCAAACCTAAGTGACCAGTGCCCCAAATCGCAGACACAAGCCTTCGGAGAGGGGTAGTGGGTTACTTCTGGACTCCCGAGAGAAGCCTGGAGAATAAAACCGCCGGCCAGCCGCGAGCCGACCTCAGTCGCCTCCTCCCTGGCTCGACCACCGAGCTGCATTCCTCAGCTGCCACCGTTTTGCACGGCGTAGTCTTCGCGCCAGGGCTGTCCCCATGTTTCCTTCGCCGACTCATTGT